TAATTTATATTAAAGTATACAAACAAATGATCAATATCAAAATGAGATTGACAGGTATTTAACTAATGACATTATTAATAAAACATATATAATATAAACAAAAAGTTGTCACCCAACTGCAAATATTACAAAACGTATATTAATTACTTCAAAAAACAATATATTTTATACAATATAATTTGTTATTAAAGCAGTTACGTTACTGACATGGAAACTGAAGAAATTATTGTATCTCTAGATGAATGTGTAACAGTACATAATTCATCTTGTAGTGCACAAACGTCACAAACAGATAATTATTATCAAAATGAGATTGACAGGTATTTAATTAATAACATTAATTATAAAACATATTATATTAAAAACAAATTGTAACTGAATTGCATAGATTACAAAAGTTATTGAAAGAAGCACAGAGTAAAATTAAGGAATTAGAGGATAAATGTAATAAATTTAAAAATATTAACAGTTACCAACAACAGCAAATAATTAACTTTAAAAAAGATAAAAATATGGAAGAACAGCTTTTTAACATAAAGTTTCAACAAAAACTTTCTGGGATCTTTACATCAACTCAAATAAATTTGATTTTAAATAAAAAAAAAGTATATAAATGGTCTGATGAAGATATATCATCTGCAATTAGCTTAAGAAGCATATCCCCTAAAGGGTATAGATATTTAAGGGAAAAAAAGAAATATCCTTTACCAGGTATCTATGTTTAAATTAACTTAAATAAATATACAAACATACTTTACAATTTCAATTATTATTTAATATTTTTCTCAGCTTTATCGACATTGAGATCATGGGCTTGTAAATTTTCAGTAGACCAAGGTATATTGCACCAAGTTTTGTCACTGTTAAAAGCTAAAGGTTAGTAATATAGTATACAATTAAAATTAATAACTTAAAAACATATTTTATAATGTGTTATAGGAGAGTCTATGTCTCGTAATGACAAAATAACTGTGATCTCTTTTGATGAGACGTATATATCACGCAAAATATGTTATGATAAAGGCAAAGATCAGATTATTGGACCGTATAAATGTGTACAAGTAGTGATGGCAAGAGGTTAGTCAGCAGTTCAGCAAAAATGTTAATATTAATTTTTAATATGGTATGTGATACATATTTCTCTCATGTTTTATAGGACTTTTAAGTAACTGGAAGCAACCATTGTTTTATGACTTTGACACACCTATGACTACTGAGATACTCTTTAAAATTATTGCTTGTATTCATGAAGTGGGATTTGAAGTAGTTGCTCTTGTCAGCGACATGGGTCCAACTAATATTGGCTTATGGAAGTCATTAAACATAACACCATCATCACCTTCATTCATAAATCCAGTTACACTTAAAAACATACATGTCTTTGCTGATGTCCCTCACCTATTAAAATTGATTAGAAATCATTTTATTGATAGAGGATTTATATTTTCAAATAATACATATATTGGAAGGCAAATTATTGAAGAATATTTAGGTACAACAAAAAACTCAGATTTTAAATTGGCATATAAAATTACAGAGAAACATCTAAATGTAATGGGCACACAGAGACAAAACGTAAAATTGGCTGCCCAATTATTTTCCAATACAATGAGTACAGCTATTAAATACTGTGGAGAAAAGAGCATTATCAAAAATAATCATTGGGAACAGGTAATAAAATATTTTTTTTGAAAAATTAGTATGGAATCATAAACACACGTAATAAATTATTTTAGGCAGTGGATCTTTTTAAAACGATTAATGATTGGTTCGATTTATTAAACACCCAGTTACCAATTGACGGATTTACTAAAAGTTATGGTCTTGATTTGGATAATCAAAACCAAATTCTTAGTAAAATGGATACAGTGATGAAAGACTTAAAAGTACATGGCTCTAATCGTAGACTTCCATTTCAAACAGGTATAACAAAAAAGAAAAAAACAATAATAAAATAATAAATAATATAAAACCTGGGAAGTCTCTTTTCTGTATAATGGTTGCGGTCAAGTGTCATCCCTCAGCTTAGAATCTAAAAATAATAAGAAAATAATTATGTCTAATACCTAATACATTTTAATCATATGTACATATTTAATAATATATTATCTAGGTGTTTTAGTAACAAATGAATCACTAAGAAATCTTTTAAAGGATCTTAAAATAGAGTACAAAGATATAAAATATATTATGACAAGGAAAGTCAATTCTGATGTATTGGAAAACTTTTTTAGTTATACTAAAGGAATGGTTGGGGCAAATAACCATATGTCTCCAATGGAATTTAAATATAGGTAGGCTTTTGTAATATAAATATTTATTTCTATGTAAATTATCATACAGAATATAACTGAACATTGTGAAATATTAAAAAAAAACTTACGATTTGTGTTTAGTTTACGCTGGTATTTGTTAGGCAAACACTCCAGTGCTGTGTTTACAGAACATCGCAATACACAAGATACAGATGAAGAGTGTTTAGTAAATTGCCTAATAGCTTCAACTATACAGCAAGCCAACATTTTAAACAATGATGATTTAAGTATGAATGAAGATATAACAGATTCAACTCTGGCAGTTATAGAAAATGATTATGGCAGTATGTCTAAAATTGAAGTACCAAAACACAATATGATGTTATTAAAAGATTTTGAAAATGAGGTTATAATTTTTGTTTGACAACAACTAACTATTGTGGAGTTTAAATAAAAATCAATAATATATTATCTTCTCACTTTTTAGTTACCTGCCAAAGATAATCCACAGATTGATGACTGTCTAGAGTATGTAACGGGATCTGTAGCTCGAAAATTCATTCACAAATACCATGATCTTGGGGAAAAATTAGGCGATCCTGATATAAACCTAAATTCAACATGGACAGAATATATTAATAAAGGATATTTAATAAAACCTTCAGCAAAGTTAATTGAAGCGGCAACAATCTTAGAGACCATATTTAAAGATTTTCATACTTGTAATAGTTTAAATAAATCACCAGGTATTATTTGAATTGTTATTATTGTAAAAAAATAACTAATGCACTTCACAAAAATCTTTTCTGTAGGTGTAATGAAAACTGTTGCTGATGAACTTGAAAAAAGAATAAAAAACAAAATAAATATTCCATATGAAGTGTTACACTGCTTAGTGAGAACAAGGACGTTTATCAGATTGAATAATCTAAATAACGAATTGTCTAATAAAGTTATTACAACAAAACGAAGCAAAATAAAGAAATTTACCTCGTGACTTTTTTGTTATTGATTGTTGCTAATTATCAATAATAGTTAATACTAAATAGTTAAAACACTAAAATATTAAATGTAATCTTATAGCTTTTTCTTGACTTCACCACAGTTTAGATCTTACCATACACTACAATCTGAATAATTAATTAATTAAATAATTATAATATATAGGTACTGAATTATACTCCATGAGTATTATGAATTATTATTATTATAAAACATGAATTATATAATAATAATATTAGTTATTATTAGTTATTACATAACAATGCTAAATTTTAATATAACTTCAAAGTTAATAATTTAATAATTTATTAAATAACAACTTAAACATGATAGAATTTAATTTAAAAATTAAAAATTTTCAACAGTTGAATTAATTATCAGTTGATTTAAACCACGGTTATCTAGGTGTAGATTAGCGGTGTAGATAACCGTGATTTAAACATAGAATTTAAAAGACAACAAATATGAGTGATAACAATCCTTGGCGGATGACGTAAGCAACATGCGCGCGGCGAAGTTGCTGTCATACCTAGTTATTTCTATCATGGTTATTATGATACGGCGGCGTGCGTGCGTGTGCGTGTGTACGACGTTCATAAATTGATTCTGGCGGCGAGTAAATATACGGGTCGGACGGCAGCTGCGGCTCGTTCTCGATGTATTTTACGGGCGGCAAATAGGTACTTTAATCGGACGTTCGCGATGTTTTTCTCAGCGGCGAAATGATATTGGCTCGGCGTTCTCAATATTCTTTTAAATGGCACGGCAGAGGTAAACAACGTGCAACGGACTTGCAGCGGCGGTGTTAAAATGCGGCGGCGGCTGGTTGATCATACCGGCTCGTTTGACCTGGCTTTTTAGGCCATATCCGAGCACGGTAGAGGAAACGAATGGACTTACAACGGCGGGTATAAAATGCGGCGGCGGCGTTAAACTGCGGCAGCGGCGGGTCGACTCGTACCGGCTCGTTTTACCTGGCTTTTTAGGCCATATCCGAGCACGGTAGAGGAAAACGAACGAATGGAACGGTAACGACGACGATATTCTTATCCAACTGTTTGACCTGGGTTTTACTCCATATCCAGTTGGTAAGAATATCGTATATGTTAAAACTATAACGAGTGAGAGTGTTTATATGCTGTTCACGGGGCCTATTTACCGACTACCTCAGTTGCCACCGTGAACAGTGCCATATAAAGGTAAACTAGCAATTAAGCAGTACATAAAAGGGAAACCTACACCTTGTGGCATAACAAATTTTCTTTTGTGTGGGGCATCTGGTATAGTGTATAATCTATATCTATATCAAGGTTCTACCCCAGATATATATCCCGATGCCCTAAAAATATTTGGCCTTGGTGGTTCGGTCGTGTTGAAATTGGTTGAAAATTTAAAACAGAACACACATTTTTTATTTTTTGATAATTTTTTTTCCAATTATAATCTGTTTGGCTGCTTGCTACAAAACAAAATATATGCGGCTGGGACAATAAGAGTAAACCGTTTTGCAAACTCACCTTTTATCTCGGATAAACAGTTATCAAAAATGGCAAGAGGTACTTCATTTGAGGTTACCTCAAACAACAAAATAGGTGTATTGAAGTGGTATGACAATAAAGCAGTTAACATGGCCTCTAATTTTATATTATCTGGGGAACCTAAATTTTCAAGAGTTATGATCGTAAACAAAAAAATATAGTCGAGATTGAACAACCCGAAGTTATTCAGCTGTATAACACAAATATGGGAGGGGTTGATAAACACGACCAGATGGTTAGTTATTACCGGACTTTTTTAAAATCCAAAAAATGGACTCTCAGGGCATTGTTCCACGTATTTGACATGACAGTCGTAAATTGTTGGTTGGAGTATAAGCAAGATGCGGCCAACTTGGATTTAAAAGAAAAAGATATTATGGATTTACTCGCATTTAAACAGCGTTTGACGGAAAGTCTTATGTTGGTTGGTATGCCATTTTCCCCGGCAAGAAAAAGAGGATGACCTTCACGGTCTTCCGAACAACCTTTTGAAGAACTGCCAGAACAACCTCGTCGTAAGAACCGACCAGTAGACCAGACTCCTTTAGAAGAAGTGACACAAGACGGGTTTCATCATTTTCCTATGTACGATGAACGCAAAAAAGCCATCAGGTGTAAACGGATGAACTGCAGAGGAAGAACTCATATCCAGTGTACAAAATGTCGCGTCCATCTTTGTTTTACAAAAAAAAACAAATTGCTTTTTTGACTTTCATCAATAATAATATTATTTTTTTTTTTTAAATTTACTATTAATTTTTAAAGTTTGATCTTATTTTATGAAGTAAATTAAATATAAATTTTTAAAAGGTTAAATATGTTTAAGTTTTGTCATTTTTGGTTGTGTTATTAAAGGTAATAAAAAGTTATTTTTAAAGTTTTCAAATGTTGTTAATAATATTTTGTTGTCATTCATAACAAAAGTATTTTAAAATGCGCAGTTTCCAATGCACATTGCAATGTACTGATTTTTATCCAATAGGGACCCATTACACATTATAATGTGCAAAATAGATATGTTACTTTTCCCCAGTGCACATCGTAATGTGCATTCAAATATCGGCGGACCAGATTGTCTCAGAACATTAAAATTTGGTAGGTAGATCATTTTAGTTATAAAATAAAAGAAAATTTAAGAAAAATATTTTTTTTTGAAAAAAAAATAATTTGGTAGTGAAAGGGTTAAAACATTATACAGACTTATACCATAAGGACAGGGCCGTAGACACGGGGGGGGGTTAGGGGTTCAAACCCCCCCTTGGAAAGTTTATAAATTTATTTCAAATATTTAAAACTACTAATATATCTTATATATTTTTAAAAAAATTTTTATCAATAATAGTAATTAATAATATTTTAGATGTTTGTGTTGTTGTCGGTTATAAGTAAGGTATTTTGTGTATCGTCTAATGGTCGCACTGACAAATCACCATTACCATAACCGTTTTGTTACTGTGATAATTGATAATCTAATTGATAATTATAGATTTTCATAGATAATAAAAATAAAAATAATAATATAATATCTTTACTATCTATGATTTTAGCCGAAGTTATACCACAGAATAGAATACATTTCATCTATTCTGTGGTTATACTGATAAGTGTTATCATAATACATTTTTTTATGTATTACATAATACTTTTGCATAATCGCATACATATTATTTAATATTCAACACTTCAATAACCTTTTTGAAAATAAAACCACAAAATTAATAATAGTGGAAATACTAACAGGCATAGCCGCAATTCAAATTTTTTCTTTGGGTGGGGGGTTGGGGGAGGCTTGGGAAAATGTACAATATATTATATATTTTACGTCCTAGACGATAAGCCCCCCCAATAGGCGCCTATGCTATGTTCTAACATTTTGTTATCAAACAAATTACCCAATTAACATTATTTCACAAAAAAAGATAGGTAGGTAGGTACAGTGCCGCAATTACACATTATGGGGCTGATGTGCAAATCTTAATTTGAGGCCTAAATATACAAAATGTAAATAAATTATTATATTAAGGGGGCTGATGTGCAATGCACACCCAGTATACAAAGCAAAAATGACTTATAAAAATAAAAATTAACTAATAGGTATATAATTACCGCCATAAATTAACAGCTCTGAAGGCTAAAGAATTAAGGCTGGCGACAGATCTAAGGCTGCATTTATTCAAACTTAATAAGCTGTCTCTGACCTTTGTTGTTATGTACTACGGCAAGGATATGTATCCAACCATTAGAACATCATGTCTCCCCTTTGCACAAATATGTTTTTTTCAACTGGTATTTCTTAAAAAAGTTAGTACAAAAATGAGATGGTAAGAAACGGCAACTTAATTTGTGTTTCTTGTCAGCTTGGACATTTATATGCAAATGGATGTCCTTAATATCACTTAAATTTAATTTTAGATGAACTGCAATTGATTAAAAAATGCCACCTAAAATTATTATTTTTAATAATAATCATAAAAAGAATAAAATAGTCAAATATGCATGATAAATTCAGAGCTATACTGTTACACCTAGAGATCCTATATAGGCTCTCTAGTTACACCTAACTGCAAAGTGCAGACCATAGATATATGAATTATAATATTTATATGTCTTTGAATAATTGATTAATATATTGTCTTCACTAAAAAGTTACTTTCTTAACAAGTAACAATACTATTATATATATTTTAATCAATTTTAATGCAATTTTTTTTTAGCATTAATTAACTTAAATTACAACATAAATTATATACAATTTAAATAAAGTAAGCATAGGTACCTATTCAAAGAATGATGATATTAAATCATGGAAATAAATACCACAAAATATTTTACATAAGTATTACATATTTACTTTACAAATGTTTAATAATTTTTTTAAGTTATTACCATAGAAACATTAGTACACGGTACCAGTAAATTGTCATAATATAATATTAATGATGTTAACATTGTTGACAAGATGCAATACAAACTACTACATCAAGCATATCATCATCCACTGCCCAAACTTCAACGAAGCTAGAAAAGATCTCAACATCCCAGACAACCTGTACGAAGCAATTGGTCCATTTTCAAACTTTCATAGCATAATTTTATTTAAAAAAAAAAATTGAATTGTACAATAACATATAATTATTTAATGTAGAAATTAACACCTGTAAGCTAATAACCTATGTAGTTGATGCTTAACCAATAAAAAAAAAAAAAAAAAAAATTGTTGACATTGTCTGTTTTAGTTTTAATATCAATAGTGACTAGTTGCACGGTGACCATTGAATTGGCTCCCAATATTAGGTAAAGTACCTCATCGAACATTGAATTGGCTCCCCAGAAAAGGATAATTGAATTGGCTCCCAATATAATTTTCAACAAGTGGTTCTCATAATATAAAAGTTGGAAAAGTACTCGACTTTAATATTTTTAGCGACACAGGGCCCGGATATTATACTGTTTGCAATTATCTAATCGTTTATCCGATAACGCATTATAAATGGTCATAATCATATCATATATCATTAGTTCGTCGCAATCCGTCGCAATAATCGCAGTTCGTCTCAATCACTCGCAGTTCATTGCAAATTGTCACATTTCGTACCTACATATATTTAATATAAAATGAATTTGGTCGAAAAAATGTTTAGTGAAAAGGGAGAATTAATTTTGATAATAAATAAGTTTAAATTTAGCTATCATAAGCTTCTACAAAATGAATTTAAACGATTCAAATGTACTAAACGAGGATGCACAGCTTATTTAAGAATTTGTAAAAACGAAAATGTTGTATGGGAATCGTCCAATATTAATCATAGCCACAATCCAGATGAAGAAAACAAACTTGAACGCCAAATTATTAGTACCTAACGGACTGTAAAGAAAAGCCATCGAAAAGATATGTGAACGCCCTTCTAAATTGTTGCATTCGTACTTAAGGGAAAATTCAACAAATTCAATTACAACGCAAGATTTTAAATACATCAAACATAATATGCTTACGTCCAAAATTACCCAAAAATAGACAAGAAGTGCATGATATTTTACAAACCATGGATATAAAAACATATGACGGTAAACAATTTTTACAAACGAATGATGCGGAAAAAGGAGTATTATTCTTTAGCACAGAAGGAAATTTAAAATTTTTAAGTAAGTTGACTACAATATATGTTGATGGTACTTTCTCGTGTTGTACAACATTTTTCTACCAGTTTTTCACAGTCCACGTTATAACAAATAATCACTGTATACCTTTGGTTTTTACTTTACTAAAAGATAAAAATCAAGAATCGTACATAAACATTTTTAAAATTATCAATAATTATTGTTTAAATTATAATAATTAATTCGGAATAAAAAAAATTTATGTTGATTTTGAAGTTGCTATACATAACGCAATAAATGAAGTTTGGCCGTTGAGTGAAATTCTTGGTTGTCGGTTTCACCTAGGGAAATCATGGTACAGAACAATCCAAAAACTGGGCCTTTCTACAGAATATGAAAAAAAAAAACAGAAATTGGTGAATATTTGACGTATATATTTGGTTTACCACGAGGGGTAAACCACTCTTGGTAATCAGTGTACAAATGTTTGGAAATCTGTGGAAATCTGTGGTAATCTTTGGAAATCTCTGGTAATCTTTGGAAATCTTTGGTAATCATTGGAAATCTCTGGTAATCTTTAGAAATCTCTAGAAATCTATGGTAATCTTTGGAAATCTCTGGTAATCTTTGGGAATCTCTGGTAGTTTTTTGAAATTTAGAATTAATTTTCGATTTTGCAAACCTCAGTAGACATGTTAAAACTAATAATCATAGCATTTCGGTGAATTAATTTAAAATAAATGTATAAGATTTAAATAAGTAGGTATCCTATTTAAGTTCAAAACACGATATCAACACTTGATATTCAAATTTTTCTATTGAATTATAATAAATTGCAAAATTGTTTATTATAATTTTCGAGATAATTTTGAAAAGTTTTGTACAGTAGGTTACAAGTTACAAGTATGTACTGTAATGTATGGTGTTAAATTTGAATTTGAATTTGGTTGTAATAGGTACCCACATATTATTATATTTAAATAATTTACTTAAGTAAAATTCAAGATGAACATGAAGATTCATAATATTGTTGAATGATATTTATTTAATTATTAAACAATAGGTATTATTTTGATTTTAATTATATTCTAGTTGTATTTCATAAAAAAATATCTATTTGCTTCATTTCTGTTGGTATTTTTTTTTCTGAGCTAAGCAATAGACGTTTATGCAATCAACCGGCATTCACCGAATAAAAATGTACATTTAATAATTAGTTATCCTAACTAACTCATTGTGTAAACTGATTATAATAAAATGGGTGCAATAAATATTTACCTAATTCAATAAAAATGAATCTTCGAATTAATCAAAGATATTAAACAGTGATCAATAAATTAAAAATTAAAAATGATAGGTAATAGGTACCTACTATCAATATTTATTGTATTATAATAATGCCTAGATACTTAGATACTGACTAAAATATTAATAATCCTAAATAACATGAATATGTAAAACTGGTATATTGTGCTAGGTATATAGGTACTGCTAACTATACCTTAAAGCTGTACAGCTATACTAATACTAGTATTATGACAAGTATATTTTAAAATTAATGGTAGCCTCGACGAACATTCATAATATACCTAATAAAATTAACTATCATTGTTTTAAAATATTG